TGCTCCCTCCCCACTGAGCTCTGCATTTCAGCCAGGCTGGTTCCTTGTAAACCTTTCTCTGTGCATGCAAGTCTCCATGCCAGGAAAGCTCTCCTTTGTTCTTCTTTGTCAAATACCATTTGTTTCCTATCCCAGTTTATTCCTCCAGCCCACCATTCCTTCCAGGCAAAGCCCACTTTTGTTCAGGAATCTACTCTTTTCTTCATAGGACAGGCCAGTGGTCCAACCTAGTTCTGGGGTGTGTGTGTGGGGGGGGGGGAGGTGAGTCATCTTGATTGTCTTAGCAACAGGATAACTCATTCCCCTTGTCATTGAATAGACTAGGTACCATGTGCTTCTAGCCAGAGAACTCAGGAGATTCCTGCTTTATGATTTCAGGAAAAGGTTTTCTGGGAGAGTATGTTTGTTTTTGCCATGCTAGGGATCAAAACTATGGCCTTGCACATGTCTGGGCAAGAGTTCTACCACTGATCTCTATGCTCATCCCTGAAGGTTTTTTTTTTCCCTAATATTTAAATCATTTATTGCTATTAAGTACAGCATCTCCATATGCACACTGTACATACACAGCTTTTTCTTTCTTTCTTTTTTTTTTGCAGGACTGGGGATTGATCACAGGTCTTTGTGTATTTTAGGCAAGTGCACTCCCAGTGAGCTACAGCCCCAGTCCCATAGATAGTTTTTTGAACACTGGAAATCAGGCTCAATTACAGCCTGCCTGCTTTGCACATCCTGCAAAAGCTCACCACCATATCTTTGCTAAAAGAGATAAAGTAGAGCCTTTTAGTTATAAGATGCCACACTGCCATGGTGCTTTGGAGTACCCCTGCTCTGCTGCTGAAGGACATCTCTGAGACATGTAAGTCCCTCTCTGATCCCCTTCTCTCTGCCCCCACTTAAGCCTCTAGATAATCTCATGCTGTGAAACCAAGCACTGCCCAACAAGCTTGTGTGCATGGCAGGGATCCAGCCTGACATGACGATAGCTTTCTTGGTCAATGCTTCCACTGGTCATGAAAAAAATTAACTCTAATGAGACTTAACGATGATGACTTAATTGATGAATGAGTGAGTGAGTGGAAGAGTGAATGCACACTGTCATGGAGCAGAAGGAACTTGCTCCCAAGTATAGCAGTTTCTAGATGAGAAGCACTCTGTGATGCTGTCCTATGAGTGTGCAGGCCCTGATGTTATCTAAGCCCCTGTCATAATTCCTGGTTCTGGGTCTAAATTAAGAGAACATGACAAGGCTGGGCATGTAGTTCAAGTGGAACAGTCCTTCCCTGACATGCATGAGGCTGCAAGTTCAACCCCAGCACCACAAAAGCCACACTAGAGAAAATGACATCATCCATAGGGAAATGAGAAAAGTAATTTATTCACAGTTTTGGCCAAAATTGGAGAGAGAGAAACTCTCAATCTGTCCTTGCCTTGCTCACAGCAGCGTCACAATTGTACCCTTGTACCCATTCACCATTACCCTGGCCCCCACCCTTCCCAGGCTACTTCTTTGAGGTCAATTTTGGCTTCCAGTGGCTGTATTCCTGACCTCTCCTTCTTTCCAGGGTCTTCATACTCCATGCTCCCCATCTCACTGGCAAGAATTTCTGATTCTGATGTGAGGTACTAGAGTAGGGTAGAAAAAGCATGAAGGACTCAGTTTACTGGTATAGGACTAAGTACTAATAGGTATTCTCTAGCTAGCACAGACAACCTGGTCTTATAAACTTCACTTCCCTGTCCCCATAATTTGTCACCTAAGGGTCCTTTCAGGGCTAAGATTCAGGGAATACAGAAGGGGAACAACTTGAGTCTCTAGCTCCTTCAACCAGAGTCCCCTAGTTCCTTCTCTGCTGAAATGCCAACTGAAAATATATGGACTCAAGCCATATTTCATGTTTTAATAAGTGCCAAATACAATGTCACACAGGAACTACTTTTATTAAGAGGGCTTAGGCACAGTTAAAACTTCCCTCTGCTTTAAAAAAAAACTTGCCCTGTAATAAAAATAGCTTATTCTTAGCTGTGCATGGGCACATGCCCACAATTCCAGCATTTAGGAGGCTAAGGCAAGAGCATCGTGAGTTTGAGGACAGCCTGGGCTACAATAGCAAGGCCCTGTCTTGAAAACAAAACACACACACACACACACACACACACACACACACACACAAATAGCCTATTCTTTGTGTAATCCTCACCATAACTATAGTTAGACAATGAATGCCCATTTTACAATCAAGAACCTGAATTTTGAGGAAGTGTCTTAAAGTCAAGGAGAAGGGCTGTAGGCTGAATTTGAGTTTCAGTTTATCAGGCTATGGGAACCCTCATTCTGTTGTTCAGTCTCCATTTAAAGCACCCCCAGCCTCCATGCAGAACTTGGAAACAAACAGCTAGGAATTAGCAGCCAGATCTGCATCCTGATTCTCGTTCTTCCATTATGGGTGCGAGGCTGGGAATAGCTTCTAAGGTGCCTTTTAGGACAACTTCTAGGATCCTAGGAAAACCATCTAAGTGTCTTCCCACCACATCTGATCTCCTTTACAAAGATCAGTTCATCAGTAAGATTTGGCATGTGACTATGCAACTCTCAGGGTACAATCTGAAATGTGACTCCGCATCTGCAGTAGACCAGCTGCCTGGCAACAAGGGTCCAGAAGTAGTTTAATCCTCAGACCAGTTCCTTTCCCTCCCAGCTCAACAAACACTCACTCTTCTTTCTTGGATGTTTCAAACACTCTACCCATAGGAGTATTTTCTAACTTCTAGATGCTTGAAGGTACCTAACTGCTTTAGCTGTTTCGTGTTCCTTGGGGGATTCTGGTAAAAGCAATCTTGTCCTTCTATCAGATTAGCTATGCAAGTTGTCACAGCTTAGAGGCTCTCTTAAACAGATCTCGGTGCTCCCAGTCTTCTCCCTCTTCCCATCCCTAGAAAGGGTGCCTGAGTACAGATCAAGAATGCGGGTGACTAAACTTCCCTCCTCGCCCATTTGCCTTGTGTCTTCAGGCCATGGTCTACAACAGCTGCATGCAGAGCTGCTGGAGCCAAGGACTGGGAAATTATTTTGCACTTAAATAAACATGGGATGAGAGTGCTGGGCTGCCAAAGGCAGCCTCTTTTGTGATGTTATGGAAGAAAAGCACAGTAAAGCCCAACCCCAACAGCTGAGCTCTGCACGGGTTCCCCTCCCAGCCCGTGATCTTAGTATAACCAGGCTGCAGGCAGAGGTTTTTTTTCTTCTGTTTACAACCTTGAACGAGTAGGATATCTTGGCAGTTTCTTTAGTACAGGCCGAACACTTAGCTACAATCTGAACTCCACTCTGCTTCTCTTCCACTCTTCAGTGATTAAGAATATAGATGGACTGGGCGCTGGTGGCTCATGCCTGTAATTCTAGCTTCTTAGGAGGCTGAGATGGGGAGAACTGAAGTTCCAGGCCAGCCGGGGCAAACAGTTCTTGAGACCCCCATCTCCAAAATAACCAGAGCAAAATGGATGGGAGGGGTGCTCAAGTGATAAGTGTCTGCTTTGCAAGCTCAAAGTCCTGAGTTTAAACCCCAGTCCTACCAAGAAACCCACCCCCAACCCCTTCCCCCCCAAAACCAAACAAAAAGAATACAGAAATATAGATGGTGAACCTGATTACTTGCTCCCAATCCCATTTAATAATTACCAACTTTGTGATCTTGGACCACAAAGGTTCTCCAGGTTCAAAATAAAGGCTAACATACATGAGTACAGTATCTTACCTGTAGGATATGCTGTTTGTTATTATTCAGTGGATCGGCAATCATAGGAAATAGTGGTCTAGCCCAGAATTGGACTTACTCTGATCTGCTTTTGACTTCACTTCCTTCCATTGTGCATGGAGTGTAGGTACTTCCCAGTGTCATTTCTACAATTGCTCATTTGTCCTTCACCTGCATGTCCCAGTATACCAAGTAGGTGGTCCATAAAAATCTATTGAAAACAAGGCATGCAATGAAGATGTTGGTTGAGCTGCCACTCTTGACTTCTAGAGTAATTTTAAAAAGGAGACTCCTAACACTGGTTTAAATAGAGAGGATTACTCTGAAACCTCAACAGGAATTTTAGTGAATGTTTTGGGAGCTTGACTGGAGACTCTAGTAGGGGAGCACAGCTATTTGCATACCTTTGACCAGAACCATCCTCTTTTGACCAATCACGCAGCTTCAGGAGGGATGCATGTGGAATGGTGAAGAGGGAAGGGGACAGCCACCTTGTCAGTCAGATCAGCTGAAATCAACCCTGGTGATCATTGCCCTCACATCCGTGAGTATTTTGATAGCTCACCCTTAATATATATGTAAACACTACATATATATGTAGTAATATATACCAATTTTTTCCATCCTAGTCACAAAATTTTGATTTAGTGTTTAGATGTGCTGATTTGGTCTGAGATTAGAACTTAATCTTTGGTGGATAGTATTTAACATCAAGTCCCATGTTGATGTTAATTTGAATTATTCTACTTTGACATAAATGTATTAATTCTAGCACTGCTTCTAGGTTAAAATATTAAAATTAACTTTATTTTGAAAGACTGTGCTCAACATTGGGTCAAAAGTGGGTTTCTAATTTAAAGGCTATTCAATAGTTAGTGGCCATCCAAACAGGGCAGTCACAATTTGGAATTTAAATTGTCTCTAGAGGTAGTTCTGATTAGAACAGGAATATAAACTCTGCCACCCACTCATTTTAAAGTTTAGAAGCACTCTAAAAGCCACACATACATTTTTGATTTTCATTGACAGCATAAAGTGTAGTTTCCATGCCATTGTGCTCATGGAGTCTTCCATTCCTGAGCCTTACCTAAAACATGAGCACAGATGACCCTTATTTAGAAAGTCTGGCATTACACAAAGAAATTCCCCAACTGAAGGCTCAAAAGATTGAGTTGTTTATCACCATAAAAATATCCCAGACAATAAAGTAGAAATGTCATACTGTAAACATCAATTAACACCACAAACATTTTAAAAAAGGAAGTTTATTGGTCTTTAAATGGCTCAAATTGCAAATAAACGAATTGGGTAGTGGCATCAGCCTAAGACATATGATGCATCTTTGTCATTTGGCTTCATAGCACCTCAGTACCCAGGAGAGGAAAGGTCTCAAAGCAAAGACACAATGTTAGTGGTTAGGACCCCTGGTTCAGTAAGACTGCAATGAGTACACGTGGAGACTGCTGGCTGGGCCTGCTGGCCGAGTTGCAGTGGTAACTTTAATTCTGCACATGGCATAGCCTACGAAAAATGTGAAATGGAAGATGTACATCTCAAACCCTTTGAGGACAAATATTTAACATGACAAGCTGGATGAAATTATCTAGAGAGCTAAGTTGCTAAAAATCCTATTTCTGATAACCTTGCCAACACACCTGTTACTTGGAATGCCTGAACACATCTTTGACCTGTTGAAATGAGGACTGAACAAGAAAGAAAAACTTTGTTGAATCAACTGTCTTAGCCTCATTCCAAAGAGGAAAAGAAAAATCTGATAGTGGTTTATTTCCCATTGAAATTATGTTCCCAAAACAGTGTGCTAGAAATTCTTTCAATGGAAATGCCACACAATGGTGACACAGCCAACTGTTTGGTCTGTATAATGCCAAACATGTTTTCTGCATTATACCTGGGTTTGATTACTTGATGTTCACTTTAGGAAAATGTAGCTACAGTTTTTTCACTGTGACCATAAAAAGACTACAGACACTCATCTAAAAAGTCCCACAAAGCCAAACTGTAACCTCATAAGTACAAATTTAGAAAGAACAGGTGGCAAGCATGAGAATCTCCCAAAGTGTTCTAGTGCAAAATACATTAGCACTTTGACATTTCTTTCTGTGCCCTCCTCCCAGAAGATTAAAAACTTAACACTTATATGCTCACCACTGCAGCGTGATTCCCAGGGACCAGCATCCCAGAGAAAGGGGGTTCATCCAAACGTAACTGGTACTACATACTCGTAGTCTAAAATTATTTTATAGGTATATGCTGGCCCTTCGTTTTAAACTACCTTATAGTTTATTAAAAGCAATCAGGGTGCTCTGGACTTTATCTTCAAGAACCAGAGTATGGCACACATTTTTAGTCTGAACAGATTCCGAGCTGTCAGTAATTTCTCAAGAATCTTCTGTATAGAAGCTGCACTCCATCTAGCAAGATAAGATCTCTCACTAGGACACTTGGAGCCAGTGAGAACACAGCCAGAATGATTCAACCAGATATTTTTCCATTTCTAAATTAAGGCATATTCAAAAATTTCCACGTACAAGTTTACACCACTTTTCTAAGTTAATCACCAGGTAATTAATGCAGATTCACAGATGAATTATTCTCAGTTTAACTATATGCAACAACCATACCATAACTTTTCCTCTATATTTGTATAACAATGGTTAAAAAAGTGATACAGTTTAACTATTCATGTTCACAATTGTCATTTTTCAAGGCAGTAGAAGACCAAGACATTTTAAAATGATATAAAATTTAAGCTTTATAATAAACACCAGAGGAAGTGGCCTTTCCTCCCGTTTCCCCACCCATCTCACCTCTTTATTTAACAGTTCAAGAAAGACTGCCCGAGAAACACAAGCTCACACGCTACATTCAGGACTGTGATAGATGTAGGCAATATGAAATAAGCTGAACTTTGCTTCTTGGTGAAGCCACATTAATTTCTTTTTTTAAGTGAATTTGACTTTCAGTGCAGTTCCAATTCATGCTTTTAGTGATACATAACAATTTCCAAAATGTTAAAGTAACTTCAGTCAATTGAGCCTTCAATGGCAATGCTTATAAATTATATTTATTAGTATGGTCAAGATAAGAAAGGAATTTGGGCTTCGATTATAAAATGCAGCATCTTTCTCTGATTCTCTTGGCTAAACTTTTCCTCTTCTTTTTTCCATTCTTTTCTTTGCTGTCTTCCATCTTTCTGGCTCGAATTTCCCTCATTAAGTCAAAAAATACCTAGAAAGAAGAAAGTGGGATAAATAAAGTAAGCAGACAATATGAGAACCATAGCAGTAAACCCGGGGGCAACAGAAGACTAAACTTTTAAGACCTCCCACTCCCCTTCACCCTTGGGGATCGGACATAGGGCCTCACACACTACGCAACTAGGCTAACACTGAGCTGTGCTTCTGCCCTTAAGAGCTCTTGGTCAGGAGAGGAAAACAGAAAAGTAAAGTCTGAGTCTTCTAGCATCTTGAGAAAACTGGGAAAACATTTTTCTGAATTATACTTTTTGACAAAAATAATAAAACATGAGCTTGCTATTCCAATTTTCATGATGAAAAAAGTACTACAACATGATAGTGCTAAAGATGACTCAAAGGATTACATGTGAGTAATTATGATCAATAAATGTATCTTGTTAATTCATATTTAATAGTCATGATTAATAAAATCTGGATTGAATAACTATCAATTATGTTCAGTAACTTACTTTCTCAGCTTCATTTTAAAAGTTTTTCAGAAGAGGTAAGGAAAACAGGTACTTTCTTTCATCATCTTGATGCTAGACACGTTTTTGCAATACAGAGAATCAATTTTTGTCTGAGTACAGGAATTTGCAAATAATGAGAAATAAACACAATAATGACGAATTTCCATATAATTTAAAAGTTAAATTACAGATGTACTCTTCTGTAACAGAGAAGGGCTGGAAGGATGTAGACTCAGACTATATATAAACATTTCTGTGTGTGTGTGTGTGTGTGTGTGTGTGTGTGTGTGAGTGAGAGAGAGAGAGAGAGAGAGAGAGAGAGAGAGAGAGAGACAAGTGGATGAGTCAATTTTTTTGGTGGTACTGGTGTTTGAACTCAGGGCCTCATGCTTGCTAGGCTGGTGTTCTACCACTTGAGCTACTCTACAAGCCTAGGATGATCAACTTTTATGGTTCACAGTTTTGCTTTTTTTTGAGACAAGGTCTTGCCATATAGTCCACACTGGCCTTGAACTCATAATCCTCTTGTTTTAGGCTTCAATGTTTACATTCTTTTTTTAAAAAAATTCAGGTATTATTTAAAAAAAAACTCAGTAAGACTAAAAACAAGCAAGATATAAAAGAAAATGAATGTTGTATGTAAACAAATGTATGTATGTAATGACTGATGTGCTTTTCCAAACATGCCTTTAACTCTCCAATGGAAACCACTAAGGTTTGCACACAGTGCAAGATAGTATAGAGAGCTACTGGTGTGCATGTAGGATGGGAGTATGATTGTGTTTGCTTGTATTTTCAAAATCAAACAGTGAAGTGGTAAGCCAAACACAAATAATTGTATATTCAGAAGGAAGGGAAGAAGTAGAGGGAATAGTGAAGCATATCTGAATATACCTTGTTATGTAATTTCTACTTTGGAAATATTAATGTTTTTTACACACTAAAGAGTTTAATTAAAATAAAAAGCAAGCTGGGTGCTAGTGGTTCATGCCTATGAATCCTAGCTACTTAGAATGCAAACCTCAGGAATGAGGTTCGAAGCCAGCTCCAGGTAAATAGTTCTTGAGATCCTCTCTTGAAAATACCCAACACAAAAAAGGGCTGGTGGAGTGGCTCAAGTGGTAGACTGTCTGCCTAGCAAGCATGAAGTTCTGAGTTCAAACACCAGCCAGTACCACCAAAAAAAAAAAAAAAATCTCTAAAGTACTGAAGATAAAAACAAAACAAAAATAAATACAACTAAGTATATCTCAAGTTAGTGACACAACTGTGTAGAGGAAAGAACTATTTCAGGGGTAAACATACCGTACAGAGTATCCAGTGTGAAAGAAAAGATATATGTACAAAATCAAAGAGATAAGAACCTATAATGATAAATTTCAATTGGGCATAATGATATGAGCTCAAAAAGCTTTTTTTCCCTTCCTTTTGATAATATCTATTTTCTAGCACTATTCACTGAAGGCCACAAAGCAATGACAACCCAATAGCAAGGAGTAAGATTGTGGCTGCTAAATACCATTCTACCAAATGGAACCAAGTTTCCTTGGATAAATGGCTGGAGCAAGAAATAAGAAAGTTTAGGTCAGAAAATGAGAATGCTGGGCGTAGTGGCCTACAGGTGTGTGGTCTCAACATGGGAGGCTCAGGCAGGAGGATGGAGAGCTTGAACCCAGCATGGGCTAAAGAGCAAATTCCAAGCCAACCTGAGCTGTATACTGAGACCTTTGTCTTAGAACAAAACAAAACACAGTAAAACAAAAGAGAAAGTGAGGATGTTATCCATGGAGTCAAACGGACACAGGACCACAGGTAGGTGCATACATGGTTAAAAATGGGGAAAATTATGCATAAACACACACATAAAGAATACAATAGACTAAAATACAACAATGACATAAATCTCATGAGTTTTTGCCCCTACTTGCTGGCATTCTTCTTCTATAGAGAAGAGTTTTCTGAAGACCTCTAATTCAAATCCAGGGCTGACTAGCTGGGGCAGGAAGCCTAATTCTAATTAAATGTAACTACTAGAATACTCCCAGTATTGCTTTCCAATGCAGTTACAATGCCATGAAAAGGGGATTATAAGAAGGGTTAATCTCTAATTTTAGATGAGTCTTTGCCATGGACTTTCAGTGAATTGCTGTTAGGAACTAACAAGGTCATTTTAACTAGAAAACACAGTGGGAAACTTAAAGTATGCATCAGTGAATTTAATGAGTCAAAGCTAAAGTAAGTCCTGTTGTAAGTGCCAAGTAAAGGAGACAAGTAACTAGGGATATGAATAAAGAACTGGTTCCAATGAACTAGAGAAATAACAATTCCCTAAGTACAAGGCTTCTTTAAACTTCTTCCATTATTCTTCGAAATTATTTCTCTCCCTATCTCTCTCAGCACTCTCTTCTCCTCTTGCCTCCCTCTTTCTCTTTTCTCATTTTAATGCAACCCAGTATGTACAAAATTTGGTTATTCTAATTTTAGACCACAGACCATAAAAAATCCCTCCTCACATAAATTAAAGCCAGACCAAACAAACAAACAGGCTCACAATGCTTAACTTAAAATACGTGTGGTTGAAAATCTATTATAACACATTTGCCTTCACCATTTTCTCTGTTTTTAAGTACTTAGAAGCCCCTAGCTCACATCATAGACAATACTAAGTTTTCAAATGGATTAAGATTCTACTACAAAATCAATACAAAAAGAAAGCAAAAAATTACATGAATTTTTAAAAGTTTAGAATGGTAGAGAGGTCTTTCTAAGCAAACCACAGAACCTACAAATCAAAACACTATCAAGTTTCAACATAACTTTTAATATTTTTCCATGACAAAAATCAAAATAAGCCAAGTAAAAAGACATGGTACAGAGGAGGAGACAATATTCACCACAGATATAAATAGACAAATGGTTAATGTCCTTAATGTTTACCAAAATGATGAATCGAAATAAGCCATTAGATAAATGGGCAGAAGGAACTGCGCAACTCTCAGAAGATAAATAGCCAATGAATCAATCAGAAGATGCGCAGCCTCATCACTAATCAGGAAACACAAAGTAAGCAATGAATGACCAATTTTACTGACAAGTTTTAAAGGCTGTATTACTGGGGCTGGCAAGGCTGTGTGGGAAGGGTGGACCATAAGGACAGCTATTCTAGAGTGACTTGTCATTACAATTTAAAATTGGCTGTCTTGACACAAGTCATGGTTCCTCTTTGGATATCTACTTGCTCCACTTCTATCTGTTCTGACAGGATATTCCTTACAATTACGAGCCTCTAGCCCGTGATTCCTCTGTGCCAGGCCATGCCCGAGGTTAACGGGTGGTTGTTAGGACACTTTTCAGAGATCTAAAAATCTGCCCTCTGGCTAGGTGTGGTGATGTACACCTGTAATCCTAGCACTGGAGAGGATCATAAGTTCAAGGCCAGCCTGGGCTACATAAAGAGACTCTATTTCAAAATAAAAAGTAAATAAATAAAATCTATCTCTTTGAAATATCCATCCAATGGTCTATTTGGAATGCAGATGAGGATAGGAATGGGTACAGTGATCTTTGTTCTGTGACAAGAGTCGACTGCTTCCCAATTCAGTAGCAGAAAATATGATTTCTAGAAGTTGATGACGTACAAAATGGGACTAGCAGAGACTACCCCAACTGTCATTTTGAGTAAAAGTGTGAGGAAAGAACTGTGGGCTGATGTTGCCAGCAACCCTGTGCCCTTGAGCCAGTTATGTCACCTCTCCACATCCAAGCAGTGAACATGGGCAGAGGATGTGTGCCTCATGCATTTAAGAAGTAAATGCCAGTGCCCAGCTCTTGTAACTACTCATGAGAATTATAGTTCTTCCAACAATTAGATTCTTTCCTCAGAAAAAAATGAAAAAAACAAATAACCTAATTCTAGACATTGACTAGGGCTGCAGGTTACTTTAATCCAGTCACTGAGGTACTTTACCTGGTGCCACTCGCAGCTGTAGCAGTACATGAAATTACAGTTTTCAGTATGAATATGTACCTCAGTTTATAAGCAGCTTCATCTACTCTAACTCTGTTTTGGAGAGATAATCACTGACTGCCACTGAGCATTTCCTCCATGCATTTCCAGAGACGTGCTGCTCTCCGTCAAGAGGCAGAATCTATTGAGGACTAGGTAGGACCCTGTGTCCACCCTGACCACTAGAATGAGGCTGAAATGTGCTTCGCAACTCCAGCCATTATGTCAGGAAAGATGGATGGTTTTTGCCTGGTTCTTATTCTCCTGTGACCCTTCCCTTTGGAACTTTGCCACTGTGCTAAGAAAGTTTGAGCTAGCACACATGGAAAAGCCCACGTGGAAAGAACTGAGGCATCCCTGGACAGCAGCCAGCACTGACTGGCTGAGCTGACATGTGTGAACAAGTCCTTAGAACCCAAGTTTAGATACTTCCAGTGTGTAGACTTGAAGCTTTTCAGCAGAGGCATCTGACATGTGCAGCAGAGACAAGAAATCTCCACGGTGGCCCATGGTGATTGATTCTTGGCCACAGAATCTGTGAGCAGAATAAATGAAATGAAATGTCCTCCACAGGCCTTTGTGTCCCCAGTGGCAGCAATATTTTGAGAGGCTCTGGAAACTTCAGTAGGTGGGACCCAATTCGAAGAAGTAGGTCACTGGGGGCATATTTTTGAAGATTTTACCTGGTCCCCAGTCCCTACCTTGTTTCTGCTTCCTGTCTGCCATGGGGTGACTGGCCTCCTCCTCTGCATGCTCCCACTACCCTGATGTTCTGCCTCACCACGGAGCACCTCACCTTCCTGCACCATGCCTGGTCCTGTTTCCAGACCATTTTCCCACTGACCTGTTGGTCTTCTTACTGTCCTGTGGGAGCTCTGATGATACCACCAGAGCACCCAGGGCCTCCGATGCCAGCAATGATCACTACAAGGACTGCAACAACACAGCTGTACTTTGTGAGGACTGTTACTATTCACCTGTCTCTTCAGTCCCCTTGGATCAGGTCATTTTTACAATGTGCTCTACAACCTGCTCAGGACATGAGCCAGGAGGAAAGAATACCTGCGCCCTATGACAATGCTGAACACTATCTTTCAAAGTCTCATACACGCCCAATTTAAAAGCACGTTTTCATAAGCGCTCTAAAAATATTCTCTCTATCCTTCGAGAAAACTGTACAGTATACTGAGTAGAAATCCTTATAGCACTCATTTTATACAAGTATCTTGGGCCTGTAGCTTCCTGACCATTTACTAAAACATTTAAGACACAATGACAGTCCTAAGACCTACAGCAAGTGAACAGCATCTCTCATCTTTTTTTAACCACCCGCTTTCTGAATCAGAGTTATAGGTCTATAGGTACAAGCATACCATCCCACAAAAACTTGAGGCCACTCACAGCAGTGCCAAAGTGTGGTCTACTAGTGCACAGTCTGCATCACCTGGGAACTTGCAAGAAACAAATTTTCAGTCTCCAAATGAAGCAAACCTCTGGGGGTAAGACACAATGAGGTATAGCCGTCCAGCTTTACAGGCAATTTGCACATGAGTGTAAAGGGCATCACTGTAGAGCTTCAGTACTTGGGAGCAGAAGAAGGCCCTACCTGTAGGCCTTCAAGTACCTGGGCCTCCTCAGCCCCAAGGGCAGTTTCCAAACAGCAGATGAAATACAATTTGGGAAGCTGCCAGGAACCTGGCAGAGGGTTCCATGTGGTTCCCAGTAAGGGCCACTCTGTGTAAGTGGTAAGATAAGGGAGGAGGGAGAAGATTTCCCGTTCTACTCAGGGGGCAGGGAATGTTGTAGCAGGGATAGCAATTTTACAATCCTCTTATCTGGGAGTTGCTTCCCCTTAGAGAACGTCAATGTCCCTGGGTAGGAATCAGGCCAGGGATGAGCACATTCAGTGCTGGCATTCTGGGATCTATACATATCATAACATGTAGAAGTTATGTTGATATTTCTTTCTCTACACAACTCCTTTTGAACTGTAGAGCTCCTTCACGGTAAGAAAAAAAAAAACAGGGATTGAAGTCAGGAATGCCATCAGTGCTTTAAAAAAGGCACATTTCACTATAGTGTCTCATGTTTTAATGTCTCTTAAGAAGCTAAGGACAAGGTGAAGTAAACTTCTAATATGTCGTACTTGAGCATTCAGGGATGATTAAAAATCAGCATGTTTTAAACCTCTACTTGGATCTCACAGACTAGGTCAAATGAAGTTCACTTAAAAAGCAAATGAACCTATTTTTAGCATAATGTAGTAATAAAGTGAGCCACATTTTACCTTGTCAACATTAGCTCGTGTTTTAGCAGATGTTTCCACATAGTTAACATTCCATTGGTCCGCTCTGTTTTTTGCCTCTTCTACAGAAACCTGCCTTTTATCTTCCAAATCTGATTTGTTACCAACCAGTAGAAATGGAACATTCTCATCTTCTTTTACTCTTAAAATCTGCTCCCTGGATAAGAGAAAATGAGAAATAAGTATCAGCATAACCTCTTCATGTTAAAATAACAAGCAGCACCTGCTATCAGTACAATTAGATATGCTTCTACACAGAGACAAGAAGTTCGTCATTACGTACAGAAACAATAAATACTTCTTCCTGTTGCGCCAACTGTTTCAGAAAGACAGTCACTTAAAAATGTTGTGTTCTTTTATACTATTATGTAATAATATTATGGCAGTAGCAGAAAAATTATGAAGATATACTCTAGTTCAGTTTCCCCAATTATTCGATATTAGTGTGGGACAATTAATGCACCATTAATAATATATTATTATTCAAATCCAAACTTTATTCAGACATTTTAAGTTCTGGCATTTTCTTCTTTTTAACATTTTTATTAGTATATCATAGTTAAACTTGGAGTTCTGGTGTTTTCTGCTTGTTTTTTTCTGTGGTGCTGGAGTTGGAACACAGGGACTCTAGCATGCTAGGCAAGTGCTCTATCTACCACTGCCCCACATCCTCAGCTAGACATTCTTAGTTTCTACATAACATCTTTTTTCTGTTCTAGGAGCTCATCCAGGATACCACATGACATTTACTTTCCTTAGACTCTATTTGGCTGTGATGGCTCTTAGACATTTCCTTGTTTTTGATGACCTTGACCTTGTGAGGTACTGGTTAATTTGTAGAATGTATCACGGTTGGGATTTGTATAATGTTTTTTGTGTAATTAAACTGGGGTTATGGGTTTCTGGGAGGATGATCACAGAGGTAGAGTCTTATTCTTACCACTATTCAAAGGCTCAAAAAAATCTTTTCTGGCAGTACTGGGGGTTGAACTCAGGGCTTCATACTTGCAAATCAGGTGCTCTACAGCTTGAGCCACACTCCCAGTCCCCTTGAAATGTTTTTAAAGCTTCACACATGCCAGAAATAATTGGGTATAGCTCTTGAGCATAGATTTTTGTATTTAGAGATAAATTATGTACTGTGAAGGTGTTACCAGTTTTAAAGTACACTGATTCTGCTCTTCCTACTCATGTGACTGAGCAAAGTACTTCTTTGCCTCAGTTTCCTCACCTATAAAATGGGACTGATGATAACTTCCTTATATGGTTGCTATGAGGATTAAATGTAAACTGCTTATAATTGTGAATGGTATAGAGTAAATATTCAATACATGTTAGCTGTTCTTATGAGTATCTACTGGGAGAAGATGATCAAAATTTAACTTTTTTTGGGGGGGGTGTACTGAGGATTGAACCCAGGTTCTAGTGCACTAGGCCAAGTGCTCTACTACTGACTACATCCTCACCCCTTCATACTTGTTTTATTTTGAGACTGAGTCTAAATTGCCCAGGCTGCCTTTGAACTTATAATCCTCCTGCCTTAGCCTCTTTAGTAGCTGGGAGTACAGGAGTATGTTACCACATTGGCTTTGACTTAGACTTATTATCTTGCTATCTCACACATGCCTTGCCTTTGAAATTATTAAGAGATGCTGAAACTATAGGAATATAAATATTTTAAGATTAAGAGAAATGAGAAAATTAATGGACTATTTGAACAGCAAATAGCAAAATACATTTGATTCTGCAAGGATCTTACAGAAATGCTTAAGAAATGGAGTAAAAATCTTCATGGTGGTTTATCTTCAGATTGATTTATTTTGTGCTCCTTAAACAATGCTTCCTGATTACTACCTCAACCTTTACCACCAATAACATCTTATTGATGGCTAGGACCAGTTTGAAGTGCTTTGTATACACCATCTCATTTATTTCTCACCCAAATCTATGTAATACTCTTATCATTCTTATCCTACAGGTAAGGAGACTGAAGCATAACTTAGGCAAAGTCACAATTAGAACTAGAATCTGAACCTGAGAAAGGTAACCCCAGAGAACACACTCAACTTCTAAATTATATGAGGGCTCCCCTAATGAAATACCAAGGGGAACAAACCCAAACCGTGGTCAAGAAGGCTTAGCTCCCAACAGTCCTTCATAGCAACAGGCCCTACCCTCTGACATGGAGCAAACACCAAAAGGTCTAGCATTATAATGAGATTCTCCATGTTAAACATTTTCTCACATAGCACAGTTAGAAACTGGTTGAAGGTAAATGTCATGATTATATATAGTGATCAGATCCAATCTGTGGGACATGTGGTAAAAGAAAGAAAGTGTTGGCATATAAAGACAATTTTACTTTTCTGAATAAAATGCTTTAGTTGTTTCAGGTGAGGGTTAGAATTGATATAACAAAATAATAAGAGACATCACTTGTGACATTACACAATGTCACAAGAGATTTCTTATACTTTTTATATTTTATTATTTTTTGGTATCGGGACTTGAACCCTGGGCATCACACATGCTAGATGAACACTCTATCACTTGAGCAATGCTCCCAGCCCTTTTGTTCTTGTTTTGGTTTTTTTTTTTCTGACAGGGTCTCACTATCTTTGCCCAGGACTGGCCTCAAACTCAAGATCCTCTTGCCACTGCCTTCCAAGAAGCTGGGATCAGAGGTGTGAGCCATCAAGTCTGGACAGGATATTTTAATTATATGATTTAAAAGTAATGCCTTGTAGGGCTGGGGCCTGGCTCAAGTGGTAGAGTGCCTGCCAAGGAAGCATGAGGCCATGAGATCAGTGCAGACAAAAATAATGTGCTCTATAAAATACTTTATACATTTAAAAAATAAACAGTAGAGCCAGGTGCCAGTGACTCATGCGTGAAATCCTAGCTACTCAGGAGGCAGAGATCACAAGCATCACGGTTTGAAGCCAACCCCAGGCAAATAGTTCACAAGATTCTATCCTGAAAAAAAAAATCACCACAAAAAGGGGCTGGCAGAATGGCTCAAGTGGGAAGAATGCCTGCCTAGCAAGCATGAGGCCCTGAGTTCAAATCCCAGTGCCGCATAATAAAAAAATTCTCATTAAAAATTTTGGGTAATACTTTTTAAAAAATCAAATTTAAGAATTCACTAATTGCAAGCATTATCTTACGTATTACCAAGAAAAACTATCAATTATACTAAGATGCCAAGACAGCTCTAACTTTGAGAAATGGTAAAATGTAAAAAACATACACCTTAGTATGTAAACTATAGTACTACTATATTATATAGGGAAGTTGAGTAACTGAATTTATGTTAATGCTTAGAACAGTGTCTGGCCCATGGTAGGTGCTATATGAGTACTACGGGGTGCTATTATTGCTATTATTCATGTTATTATTGTTACTTCATTCATCTGATTATTTCTATGGAACAAACATTCTAACAGTGTCAATGCTTAAATCAAGTTCTCTGACCTAAATTCTCAGTTCTTCTACCATACATATATAAAGAGAGAGAAAGAGAGAGAGAGAGAGAGAGAAACACTAAGGATCACACAGAAAGATGCTTGCTTCTTTCACTGATTTGAAATTACTGTAAACATCCTTTAGAAAATGTTAAAAAGCAGCCGGGCACTGGTGGCTCATACCTATAATCCTAGCTACTTGGGAGACAGAGATTGTAAGTATTGCGATTCAAGGTCAAATAGATCACAAGACCCATCTCCAAAATAATCAGAACAAAATGGACTGAAGGTGTGGTTCAAGCAGCAGAGTGTCTGTTTTGCAAGTGTGAAGCCCTGAGTTCAGACCCCAGTCCCACCAAAAAAGAAAAACAATGTTAAAAATCACTGTATCTGGATGCTATATGCTAAGCTGCACATCCCCATGTGGCACAATGTTTCCTACTGCTTACATAATTTCTTGCAAAAGGCATGCCAGCACTCACCATTATTGCTATTAAATTTATGATATACATGTAAAGAGGATTTTGGCCAACCACAATGTTTTTCAAATGCTGTCACTTTCTTTAACAGTTACCTTTGTGATAGGCAGAATAAACAAAAGATGTTAATGACAACTGATTCACCACTCAGTCTTACTAATTATTATGAAGGTGGGCATGACTCAGGTGTTTCTGACTCCAGCATTTCTAGATTTCTAGTCTCTCTCTCTCTCTCATATATATATATATATACACACATATATGTATATGTTAATAAATACCTACTAAGTTACTCTTAGTCAGTACTACAAGAAGTCCAATACTGAAATTACAGTGTGACCAATGCTATCTACATGACCATGGAAAAACCTGTACCTAGTAAGTCAAAGGTTAGAAAACAATATTCTTTAGAGTTAGGAGGGTGGATTTATTAGCTTTCCTGCGTGTTAGAGGAAGCAGTTACAACTTTCATATACATTTTGCTTAATGTGTATACCCTTTAAATACTGTTTTAGAGGCTGTCATAGAATTTTAGAATATGCAGGTCTCCTTGAAATCTGACCCAGTTTCTTCATCTTTGACATAAGAAAAGTGAGCACCAAGTCAAATCAAATGTTTATTAAACATGTACTGTATTGCTATATAACTGCAACTATGTCAAAGATGGGTACTAGGGATAATGAGATAATGGGCTCTGCTCTAGAGTTTTTACCTGAGCAAAACCCAGCTCAGTGTGAGTATGGTAAGTGTAATACTGGAACTGTAGTAAGTACATCACTAATGGAGATGAGGAAGCAATGGATCTACATTGGTGATGGAGATGACTAGGAAGGCTAAAGGGAGGAGCTATCATTTGTGCTACACTTGTAGACTAGACCATGTGGAGTGCCTCTTGTAATCAGTCAGACATTCTCCAAAATACCTTTCCCACTGCTGGTGAGTCAGTAGGACCATTTTTATTTATAGGCAGGGCAGTGCATTGGAGGTATACCAGAAGAGTAATGAATCATCTTTGTTTTCTGTAACAGTAAGATTCTCTCTCTCTCAGCATAAAAATACCTTATTCTTTTGAGATGCCACTTTAGTAACTATGGTGACAAAATTTATTCCGTTACTTAGAACAGGGCCTGGTACATAATAAACTCTCATATATTTGTTGAATGAATGAATAGCGTTGACACTTACATAACTTTCAGCATGTCTCCCAGGTTTGTAAGTTGCAGGACTTACTACTCTGTCCTTTATCACATGAAATTCCTTCTTTACAGAACCAACAAACTTAATTTTACAAGTAAGTCAATACTTAAAATTTTTTCAATGACATGCCTTTCTTGCAAAGAATGTTATATCTTAGAATTCTTTAAAGTTCATGAGACTTTCAAGTGTACATAAAATGGAATTATCTGTATAATCCCTCACTCTGTTTTTTGCTCTTCAATCCAAAGTGTCTTCTTTCTCCTTTGTGAAATTCTTCTCTTTTTCAGGCTTATCTATTTCATCAGTTTCTCACCCCTTTTCCTTTCTGGATCCTCTATGAGGACCACTGCCCATATTTCCTACTTTTGTGCTAAATTTGTTCTTGCTTATGCACCTTATTGTATTCAACTATTCTGTGTAAATCTTGATTAGAGGTACAATGCATGCTTCTTTTGTGTCCCTCATTGCCAAAGCAGACTCGCAACACAGAAGTAAAAATTATACAATTAAAGAACATGTTTGATTATGAATTTGTAACACTACTCAAGAACTTCATTATGCCAAATTCCTCTTAGATATGTACCACTTTCCCATTCACTGAAGCCAGATTTTGACTAAGGAAACAGTAAATAAGATATATTGTAGAACATAACCAAGTGTGCCAGTCTACACTGGTATTATTTCTATTTTACAAATTCAGTCCATAAAGTTATTTCTAGTTTAAAAATTCAGGGTACCTGCACTGTAAAGAGAATGGCAATGTGCACCCTGAGCACATTCCTCAGGTGCTGAGAAATCAATGACTAACACAAATAAACTCTCAGGCAGTAGTAGTCTTTTATTCTGAAGAGAAATACTTCAATAAAGCAAAAAGGGACTCTGAGTATTTGAGGCTGCCACAAATTCAAGTTCCCATATATCTGGCATTTGGAAAGGTATAAGATTATGTAAAATATGTGTGTCTACATAGTGGACAGAGTCATATAGTGACATCAAAGTAGGAATACACATAATTAGGGACAGTAAAAGACTAACTAGCTGTCCACTGTTTCTGGGGAAGAACTGTTGTACAGTGTGCCATGAACAACACTGTCCTCAAACATACCTGAAGTCGGCTGTGGCTGCAAAGGACTCCATCTCTGTAATAGAGAAGACGCATAGGAAGCCCTCTCCACTTCGGAAGTAGTTGTCTCTAATTGCAGCATAGTCTTCTTGCCCAGCTGTATCCAAGATATCGATCTGCACCTCCTCCCCATCCAACACTACCTTCTTCCTGTAGCTGTCTGCTTTGGTAGGCTCATAATCTTCCACAAACTAGAAGGGATCAAACAATACACCCATTTTTAAATTATTGTTATTTTCAAAACTTCTTATTTTGAAATCATTATAGACTTGCATAAAGTTGTCAAAAAAGTATAGAGATTCATGTATCTTTACCAGTTCCCCCCACAATGGTTAAAGACTACATTCATTTTAGATAACTCACCAACTTCCTTATTTGCAAAAAAGGGTGGGGGGGGTTAAACTATTTACCTCTAAACTGTTTATAGCTTGAAAATCATGCATGCTTTTCTTTCTTAAAACACTGCACGTGCAAAAAACTGATTGTTTTTATCAAATTTATAAGAACCCCTTTCTAAGTAATTCTAAATAGAAATGTTTTTGTGCCAGAACTGTGGAAATAACTTGTAAGTCAGTATTTAGATAAGCACTGAGAAAGTACCATTTCTTTTCTTTTATTGACGTTTTGTAGCAGGTCAAATCTTAAACTTTAACCTCTCTTTGTTGTATCTTGAGCCTTTTGATACCATTGTTAGCATGTGTGTACAAACAAACTTTATGGGGGGTTTTAAAATTAGTTTGTATATAATTTTTTTCATTATATGATATTTCTTACTTATTTGTAGAATTTAAGCCCTACTAGAATTTAACCCCTTGAGAGCAGAGACTTTAACTACGCTTAAGGTCAATGCATCTCCAAAGTCTAGAACAGTGTCTAGTATATGGCACATATTCTTAAATAATTATTTTTAAGTGGACAGTGTTTTTATAAGTATAAATCACTCAACATTCTCACATATTTGTACGTTATCATACCATTCACTGAACATTAGAACACTGAGTGTTTTACTTTTGGCTTCCTTATTGTCAAGGAGGAGACTGATACAAATATTATAGTAAGCCTGCTTTCTTCATGAACCTATTACACATGGTTTTGACCAACCACAGTAAAAAAATTTTTTAAATTTCAAAAACATGTGGTGTATATGTGGGTTAGATTCCCACCCACTTATATACCCATAGCTCAGTCAGTTCCATGTTATCAACTATGTTTATATTGTTCTGTGATCTGCTGATTGTTTCCCTGCCCTTAATTTTGTGAAAATATGCCTCCCAAAAAGTACATGGTGCCCCAAAAGGTCAATGTGTTTAATAAGTGATATAGTGAAACTCTGAGATTTATTGAAAGGCACAGATATTCAGTGAAAGTTGAGTGGCATTTTGTTTTGTTTTTAAAGAATGTTGAGTTTCTCAACTTGTGAAATAAAGTTATACAGAAATGCAGACTCTGAGATTAAAAGTAGAAAAAAAATATTAGCAGCTTTCAAGGATTCAAAGAATTAATCTAAAACAGCACTAAAACTAAGATAGAAAACTACTCTCTCAAAGCCCAAGCTTGGATATTCATTGTGAAATTAGCCCTTACCTCATCATACATGAACTGCAGAGTCAGAGCAGACTTGCCTACACCACCACTGCCCACCATGATGACTTTGTGTAATGCCAAAGAATTCTGACCCTTGGGCTTATTTGCAGCCATCTTGTGTTGTGGAGTTTTCAGCAGGATTCAGAAAAATCTAAGAATGAAAGAACAAGTAATACTCAGTGCATTCTTAAGAATTTCAGCATAGGAAAGAGATATGATGTCCTTAGGGTTCAAGATACTAGTTTTCATTCTGCAGTGATTGTAAACAGGTGGCTAATGAAGTATGGTCACTTAGGGAAAGAACTACTTACCAGAGAATGACATGGCAAAGCAACAAGCAAGTGACTCGAGGGCATTTTTCTCATAATAGTTTCCATAATGAGCTGTGACCAAATGTGAACATTTCCTAAGGCAACCACATGCTGACAGTAATAGGGTATTAGCACTGGAATACATTCACAGAGATTATGAAAACAGGTTACAGGATCACTTTGTTTTCATATCAATCCATATTGGCAGTACTTAAATAAAGAGATGCGCCCTCTGATTTCAGTACAAACAAATGAGCAAAAAAGGATTCCCATGCCTGATGTTAAAGACTGCACTGAAATGCTTGCCATATTCTAAAAGAAGAAAACTTATCCCAACAACTTGGTAAAAGAATTGCAAATAGAATTCAACACTGCATCTCCCAACACTGGGTTTCTTGGGGTGGATACCCAATCTAATTTAAATACTAGGAGCTGGCATGCTTCACCTTCCTCATGCATTTGTTTAATACATTCAAGTGTTCCAGTATGAAGAAGACCAGTGCCTAATGAAGTTGTAATGGTGATGGGCACTAATAGCATCCAATAGCTTTAGTCACAGGGTTAGACCTTAGGAAAAATGCTGTGAGATCACAAAAAATACTGTGTAGAGGCTCAAGCAAAGAGACTTTGTTCTTAGTGTATGTGGAGGGTGGGGCACTGCACCTTCCTCCTTAGCATATCTCTGACATGTGTGGTCACAGACAACAGCTTTCCTAAGTTGCAGCTCACAGACCGTGCCCATTCTGCTTAGTTCCCTTTCTCTCTCTCTTAGCTCAATTACATCAAAACCAGCATTGGTTTCCTGTTCTTTAAATGCTCTTCTCCGCCTCTTGGCCTTTGCCATCAGTTTGCTGTTTGGCATATTCTAATTTGATCTAGTTAATTCTTCTCAGTTTTTGGGTTTCCGCCATATCTGAAACTCTCAATATAAATTAGGCTTTCCCTTGCCCTGTGTTCTCAGGCAGCATCTGATACTTTCCCTTTATAACTCTTACCACAATTTGAATTGCTTGAGTGTGTGGTTGTTCAATATGGTTCTTCTCTAGTACAGTAGACTAGAAGCAACTTGTGCAGGGACCGTTTCTATTTGATTTTCCTTATGCTTAATGTAACTAACATGCCTTGGCCAAATTAGCCATTTACTGCATATGTGTAGAATGAATATTTGCAGCCAGATGTAAGGTTTGGGGAACACTATAGACTGAACGGCTATAAAGCAGCCACTACTACTTCAATCCCAAGTAGGGCAAGGACAGTCTGCCCTGGGTCTATGCCTCACATGTGGCTGAACAGGGCACTCAAGAACTGGGCACTACTTTCGGCCTCACCCTGGAATCATGCCTATTTGCTCAATACAGAAAAGTATTCAAACAAACCAACCACAACTCTACTATCCATTTAACATGAACATGTTAACACACTTCCCTTGAGACTGCTTTTACTCTGTATTTAGCACAATCATACCTATAATTTTTGATCCTGTTCTTATCATTATATCACAAATATTTTAGCAGAAGCAGCCTGAAGTATAATGGGTACAGCAAAAATGCATACATAAGACTTCAATTCAACAAACAAGGATTGAGTCCCTCTTTTAACCTGGGTGGAAAATGTAATTGTTAAATTCTGAGTGTTTACCCTGCTCAAAAACAGTGATAATTATAGAATGCTTCAGATAACTAAAAGATCTAAAGATGCTAAATCCAAGCCAGTTTACAGAGTGTTATTCCTAAATATAACAGGATATGATTTATTTCTCACTATTATGATCCAAATTTGCTGTAATCATTTCACAGCTACATAACTACTATTTTATTTGTAAAACAGTAAGTACCACATGAGCTTAGGGTGTTAGCTTATCAATTAATACTCTTTAAGAGTTCAGGGCTAGAGGTGTGGCTAAAGTGGCAGAGCACCTGCCTAGCAAGTGCAAGGCTCTGAGTTCAACCTCCCTCCCAACCACAAAAAAAAAGAAAGAAAAAAAAATAGGGTTTTATGTGTGTATGTGTTTAAAGCAAACATTCAACAATTACACCAAATGGGTTAAAGCACTTCTCCTTCCAGAACAATTTAGAATATACTCTATGATTCAGAAATTTTAAAAAGGCAGAGATTCTCAAGGACCTTTTTCCAGAGTGCAGATATGCCTAATAACTGAGACACACACTGCAGACTTCCAAGAGGCTATCCAGGAAAAGCAGCTCCCATCAAGAAAATACTGCTTGGTTCCCATTAAATAAACTTAGCACATGTATAGCTTATCCTTACCCCTGGTAAGTTAGGTCTCTAACTTACCTGGTAACTTACCTGGTAAGTTTCCGTCTCTGTGACCAAGTACCTTAGAAAAGCCTCACCCCAGTGATGAAATTTCCTTCCACTAGACCCTACCTCCTAAAGGTTCTACCACCTTCCAATAGTGCCACAGGTTGGTGGCCAAGTCTTTAACACATGGCCTTTGGGAAAGATTTAACAACCAAACTCCAACGCTTAGTCTAGAGGTTGTTTGAATTGTAAACTGCCAATGCCCCTGCCTACCATAAGTTAAAGACATAAATTTTAAAATTCCATCAGTACTAAATACAATTAAAAAAAAGGGGGTAATGGAATAAAGAGTGGGGAGATAGGCTACTAAACCAGTCAAAGTATGACTAGTCTGAAGAGGTGACATTTCACATGTGAGACCTGAACCTCAGCTAGCCAAGGGCAAAGCATTCTAGACACAAGAACCCTAAGACGGAAGAGAATTGGCATATTCTAGGGACCAGAAGCAGGCTGTTAAGGATGAAGCTCAGAGAGTAATAGGAGTACCACAAGGCAAGGCAGAAAGGTATACAAAGACTAACTCACAAAATGCCTCAAAGACCACAGAAAGGTGTTAGAATTTGATTATGATTGCATTAGGAAGACTCTGGAGTGGCTCTGAGCAGGAGAGTGCCATAATTTCATTTATGTTTTTAAAAATTTTGCCCTGGCTGGTGTGTGAGAACAGATGGTAGAAGTGCAAGAGGTGAAAGTATAGGAGGCTACCCTAGTAGTCCATGCAAGAGAGATCAGAGGCCTGGGCTGCAGTAGCAGCACAGAACAGATAATACTAATTTTACCACATAAACTGGTACTGTCTGAACTACGATCTGTACCTGGGACAACAAAAATAAACATCTCCCGAGCACTCACTAACCCTTGGCATTGTTCTGAGTACTTTGTACATACATACTCAGGTGAGTGCCACATTTCACATATTAACAATTGTGTGAGGATGTACTATTTTAACTTTATTAAACAGATAAGGAATCTGGGTCACAGAAGGTGACTTCTTCAAGGTGGGTCAGGATTCAAAGTGAGGCATGCCATGCTATCTAGGGTAATTTGGGAGAAACAACTGACAGTATTTACTCAATGAGTGGGTGAGGGAACATAAGAGTAACAAGTATAGTTCTGACCTAAATACCTGAATATGAATATCTAAGACAGAGAAAGACTAGGATGGAACAGATCTGGGAAAGAAATCCTAAGCTCTGCTTACACATTAGACATCTCATCAGAGTTGATGAATAGGAAACTGGATGGTCTAGCCTGTAGTTCAGGGGTGAGGGTAGAGATGGAGACAAAAATATAAACGTCAGTTTATAGGTTATACTTAAAAGTCACAAACTGAACAGGTTCTCTTTAAGAGTAAGATGAAAATGGATATGAGAAGGCAGCAGAGGAAAGAGCCCCGAGACAACTCAATACGCTGGCTCAGTAGAGAGAAACTGAGTGGTGTGCAGTCCTTGAAGCTGGTAAACTCAAATTCTGCTGAGAGACTGATGGAATATAGTAAGAAGAGAGATGAACAAAGAACTGATTACTAGGTTTGTCAAGATGGAGACTGCTGGTGACCTGGGGAAAACTCATTTTACCAATAAGGTGAGAATGGGGTGGGTTGAATATGAGGGACACAAATGGATCTTAATTCTGAGGATGGATAAACTGAGTCACAACTTGGAGGTGTTACCTGGAATAGGGTTTGTTGCTTTTTAGTACTGTTTAAGACATTTGTTGGCAATCATCCAAAAAGGGACAAAATTTAATGATTAGAGAAGAGTGTGATTCCAGGAGCTAAGTTCTCTAGTGCATCAGAGGAGTTGGGTACTAGAGTACAACAGGGTCAGGGACATCTCTTCTTTTGTATTGGGAGGTGAGGCCAGGCAAAGAACAAGAGTACAGATGAAGGCTGCAGGCGGGTTTCTTAAGTTAACTGTTCTACATTTCTTCAGTGAAATATGGTCATAGATAATTTAGTGGGAAAGTGAGAATTCAAAAACAAGCTTGCTAGATACATCAATGAATAACATATACAGAAACAGCTCTAAATACATACGATGATACAGCGTTTAACAAAGGTGGCATTTCACATTGGGAGGGGAAGGAAGGAGACTAATAAATGTTGTTGGGACAACTGGTGAGTCATCTGTAAAAAACCAAAGTTGGATCTATTCTCTCATAAATATAGTCTAAGTAAATCAAAGATTGAAATTATAAAATGAAATCACAAAGACATGAGAAAAAAAAATACCATGAGACATGGTAGTACATGCCTGAAATCTCAGCTATGTGGGAAGTAGAGATACGATCATGGCTTGAAGCCAGCCTGGGCAAAAGGTAGGGAGACCCTATCTCAAAAACAAGCCAGGTGTGCTGGTGCATGCCAGTGATCCCAGCTATGAGGGTAAGAAGACCTAGTCTGAGATTAGCCTTGGACAAAAACCATGAGACCTTATCTGTAAAATAAGTAAAGCAAAAAGGGCTGGGGGTGTGGCTCAAGTGGTAGAGAACTTGCCTGGCAAGCGCAAGGCCCTGAGT